ATTTATATCACCTGCCCAGATAGCTTGTTTGATTCACTCACTTGCCTTAGGGACATACAAATGGAAGATTGAGATCTAGCAGTAGATGAAATATGGGCAAGGCTGATCGAATTATCTTGATCTCAGTCTAGGCTATCTCTGCCAGAAAGGAGCAGAGGCAGTTCATGGTTCAGCACTGGGGGAACGTCTGAACACATAGCCTCATGTCCGAGAAGAAAGCTGTGTATGACTGGGTAATGCAGCCTCTATTTGTTAAAATTGCAAGCCTTATATTTCTTTAAAGGCATGTTTAGTTTTGTGTGGGTATTCAGGTACAGTTCAGCTTTGTTTTTCAGCTGTGTTAAAGGAATATGTGTAGTTGTTTCAGTGCCCATTTACATTTGATCACTGTTGCATCAATTTCCTGACACAAAGCATATATCCATCCATTGAATTTTTCCAGGTGTATGTTATAGGTGCAGCAAGGAAAATGAGGCCAAATACCACTGATCTTCTGCTGATAACTTTCTTCTTACTTATGTTTGAGTGTATTTTGCTTTGGATTTTATTCAGTTCTAAACTCAGATAAGCAGAGTGACTTTCACATTAATAATCAGCTTTAGTCTTGTTCGTTTCATTTTACACTATAATAGGAAGATCCTTCTCAAACCCAAGGAAATATTTTCTTTTGTTAGCTGTATTTTGAGATGGTGATCTCCTCTTCCCAATCTGTACTGTTTCTGGTTAGGCTGTGTATATACAGTTGTTCAATTGTTTGGTTTGTAATCAGTGTTTTTGGAATCTTTCCAGCTTCAGAGGTTAACTTTCAGGTTTGTGATTTCCTGAGTGATTTTTTTTAACTATTTTTTTTAACCTTCCCCTCTCCTATCACTAAATTATTTAGTAGGGTTTGTGGAGTACTGGAGATTATGTTAAATTCTTCTCTGGAACGTATCTCTTGAGGTGTATCTCTTTATTTTGGGATTTTTTTTCCACTTAAATGGTACTTCTGTGGTACATAATCTAATTACCACTCACAGGCATGATAATCTAGACTTTATTTTATGCTCAGTCCTTGGTGAGGTGTGATGATAGGCAGAGGGGATTCAATAAGTCAGTAGAAGGGTGAGAATTTGCACCAAAAGGACCTACTCTGTTAACAGTATGTTGTTTACTCTTATCTGTGCTCAGCTCTGACAGTGAGTGTGTGTGTGTACCATAGGAAGGTTCCACAAATGGGTAGAGAAAATCAATAATCTACCATTTTATGTGCTAGAGCAAAAGAAGGGCATACAGAGTGAGATGATGCTATTATTTGCCTTAACTCTTCAGTGTCCAGCATTCCTCATCTTGGCCTGAATTATGAAAGTGAATGATCTAAAGAGACTAATTAATTACTTTACCACAAAGGAAGCTGAGGGAAGTAGATTATGATTTTGATCTCTGTACAAAAAGGTTTGTGTGCAAGTTGAATTAGTCCCTTGAGTACCTTATGGTTTGCAGTATGTCCAACAAAAGGGCACTTGTTTCCTTGTGAAAACACACTGCACATACCAACCTTCCCCTGCCAGAAATGGAGGGCTATTCAAGTTGCTGATCAGCATTTCTCACTATCATTAGCATTTAGTCACCTATTAGTATCTAAATACTGTAATTGGGGTCTATGTTTTTCTTTTAAATTGAAGTAAAAAGTGAATTGTCATAACTCTAAACTGTGCAGATAAAATAGTTTATAAGCGTTCAGCATCAATGTGTGTTATGCAGCATGGTAAAGAAAGCTCATCTTCACTCTTTACATGTAGTGGCACAGTAGATTGCCCTCTGAAGAAAACTTGAAAAAACAAATCGTAAGCTCTCTGATCTCAGAATGGTAATGCAAGTAGAGAATATGTATCAGAAGAAGGGTAGACTAATGTGTATCACTTAAAAAATACAAATTATTCTGTGGGTAACAAGTGAAGATGGGTTGTATGTGGCTTCTCATCTTTTTTCCTCGGTTCTTCCTAGTGGTGGCACAGGTCCCCTCCCTCCCTCTGCTCTTTCCCTCTGTTTATTTTTATTTTATTTTATTTTTTTTTTATACACAAGCCATTCCTACTGTACAGTGTGCAGGTCCGTCCCTGCAATGTGGGCCATGGATGGTTCTGAACTCCTATACTTGCTCCTCTTGCGCTCTCTTCCCACCATGCAGCATTAGTCTCCCCTCTGCTTTTCATAAGGGTGGATTTTCCACAAAACATTTTGAAATCTAGTTTGCTGGAGACTGCTGAACTCAAATTTACAGGCTGTTTCTATCAATCCATGGGATATATGGATGGATGTCACAACCACACTGCCATTGTCCAGGTCTCCTTTCCTTCAGCAGTGTATCTTAAAAGGATGCTTTGGATACTTGTTAGGTCTTCCACCCCCAAAAATGTGTTCTAGGGATTAGATTCTCACCATTCTTTTTCTTGAGGGTGTCATATCTTTTAATCTTTGTATTTCGTATCTATAAACTTGGTGTTGTCCTCTAACCATCAGCCTCCGCTGCATGAGTATAGTTGCTGCAAACTTGTGTCTCATTCCGTACGAGGTAGCACTCTGTATGTCTGTGAGTAGTAACACTGTATTAACACAGCAACACGGGCCTAGTTGTCCCTCATTTAGAGAAGCAAATGCATCCTTTTGTCTACTGTTTATTGTGAATTACATCATTGGTTGACAGTGGTATTCACATTTTATTATGCTGACTCCCTGGCTCTATGAGGTGCTCGTTGCATCTCATGGTTTTCCCCTAAAAACTTTCACTGTGAAAATGCCTTGCACCCTTGCTTCCTTGTGTTCAGGCTTGCTAGAGGGTGTATGCCTTCACACTTCCGTTTTTTCTCTTCTCTAGTAGAACATGATGTCTCTGTATGCACTTTAATATTTTTATTATCCTTCCTAAGATACTTGGAGAGCTGGAAGAATTAAAATAAGAGGTTTTATTTCTTTGGAAGGTACTAACAGTGTCCTGTTACTTATGGAGACGGTATTGTTGGTTGTTGAAACTGGTAGCTCTGCCAGCTCTGGATGTCTGAAATAATTTTTTCTCTTACTGTATTTCCCCTTGGGGCTTTCCTAGTTCTTGTTAATTTTTTTTTTCTTCTTGGGAAAAATTTGGACAAATCCGCTGAGGTATTCTCTAGCTTGTACCGTGTCCAAGGAGAGATGCCATCATGTTAAGTCTAAGACCTCATCCAAAAGCTTGAGAGCTGGGAGTGCTGAGAGGAAACAGGTAGACTTCTGAAATGGTATGTGTGAGGCATTTCCATTTAAAATATTGCTAATGTTTTTCTTTAAAGGAGGGAAAAGAAAAACCCAAAAGCGGGGGAAGTAATTAAATTTAATTTGAGAGTACGAGACAAATCTTAACTTTGTAATTTTTTGGTATCCTATCTGCAATAATGTCCTCCTGTGTTAGACAGCCAACTGAAACCTGGAAATTAAATAACTTGTTGAGATCCACAGGAAGTAATATTCTCATTTTGAATGATAATATGAGTTCCTGACTTTGTGTTCTGCCCCAACAACTAAAGCTGGCTATCTACAACTTGCTCTATTCCAACACACAATTACTATTGAACTGTAGCATTATGGTCTTCATACTCAATTCTAGAAATGCTCCATCCTTGTCCCTTGTATAATATAAAGTATTGCCTGTAAAGTAGATAGAAACAGTAGTATGCAAATAAATAAATAAATAAAAATGCCTGGGATTTGAAGCTGGTCTCTCAAAATGAAGCTGATACATCTGGGCCCCCACATGACTAGAAATATGTAGCACTTTTATGCTGGCTTTCTCACCTCTTTCTGATGCTGTTAGCAAAGTGAAGGAGGTCTTTGGTAATGTATAGAAGCTGGGATATTGAGTGTTTTGGGTGTCTTGGGATATGTGTGTGTGAAGTTACCAAAACCAAAAACTAAACTTATAGAGCAATGAGCGTATCAACTCCTTAGCATTTACTTTAGTTGAAAAGGAAGGAGTGATAACTTTGATTTTTGAAACAGTGAGTGTCTGATGTAAGCAAAATATGGACCAAAGTGAACACTGCAGGTTATCTGAAACTGCCACTTTGAAGGCACTTTCCATAAAAGATGTGTTCTGGTTTAATTCTGAGGGTTTTTTTGAAACTGGAGTTAAATATTTACAGTTATACACAGCTGTTCTGGTTTTGTACTTGTGACTGTATTTGGAGTCATATATAGAGAAAAAAAAACGTAATAAATTTCTCATTAAAACACAGAGTGAAGAAAATGAAAATTGCATATTTCCTGAATTCTATATCCCACTTCCTATATATTCAGCCTCTAAAGTACTCTCAACAATGATCTTACTTGCCTTGTCTTGAAGAGAACATTGATAGTAACAGGATGGCCTGACAGGAGTTTAATTCAGAGATGGACAGAAATGCTTCCCTACTGAATAACCTTCACAAGCATTTTTAGCACTCTAATTTTCTTCTGAAATCAACAGTTACAAATGGAGGGGAACGCGGGCGAAAGTCTGTCCTTGAGTCAAAGAAATGTAGAACTTTTTAATGTGAAGGAGGAAAATGTCTTGGGACATTCCTCTTCCTCCAGGCCACAGACACTGCATAGACCATCACCCAGTATGATATTTAGAAAATCAGTGGTGATCCAAAAAACAGAGAAACAATCATTAAGTTCAAAATAAATTTTTATTTTTAATTGTACTAAATTTGTTATGATAGAAGGGTGTTCTTGATCTCTCTTTGTGGTACGGGGTTTTTGGTTTTTTAAGGGTTTGATCTGGTTTTTTACATCTGGTACAATATTTTTCATCATTATAAGTAGTTTTGTTCACATGTCTTATTTTATTAGTGGTGTTCACTTAATTTTGCATTGTGATCATGTTTTGTCAATTTTATGATGGCCTGAATAAAATAAAAGCATTTATGAATAGTCTAATATGTGTCAGTGCTGATTGTCAAACCAAAACTGACTATTGGCCTTTTTTATCTTTATCATTTTTTGAGAATAAAGGCCAGTTTCTTCATGATGAAGTGTCATCTTCAGTGTCACATCTTGCAATAAAGGTAAATACCTGTTCTTTGAAAGTGTAACATTTTGTATATATTTCAGTCACTGTATGCTAGTTACCAGTTTTTCATGGACATCTGATTAAGGAGGATATTTATATACTTCATTGATGATTTTATAATTATGTATGATCCTTGGTCATGGGGTTCTCATTGAAGTAATATTAGCAGTGCAGTATTAGTTGGAAAGCTGCCTTATTTTCTTTCATTAATGGGGAGGGAAAGGTATCCTAATTTTTTTTTCTTCCACATGATAGATATTAGAGCACAAAATGAAAAAAAGACACAGGAATAACTGAAGTCTAAAGAAGCACTAAAATCTAGCTGCAACTGCCAAAGACAACATGAAAAGTAGAAGAGATCTCTGTTACTTATTCCATTATATGTAGCTCAGCTGCCTCTATGACCACAAGAGGTTAAGAATTTTATTCCGTATCTCTTTCAGGAAAGAGAAGTAGGCATGCAAGTTAATTTTTTTTTACCTTGATATGTGTCCAAGAATCTTCTTTAATGTTCTTAAAATACATTAGTGGGAGATGAAAGAACTGGAAGTTATTATGATATGCTAGAGCTTGTTTTGAAATTCCATAGGTATAGAGAAAAGTATTTTAAAATAGGTTCATTAGCGTAACAGGATACTTTACATTAATATGTATAAACTGAACATCTGTCTCTGTTATTTCTTTTTGTTCTACTTCAGATGCAGCATGATTTTCATTGAAAATAGTAGTTAGATTGTATTATACCTTTTCCTACCCTTTTGAAAAAATATAATTTTTTAATGAAAACATATAATGCCATATATTTTATACCAGATGATAAATGTTTAGGGAGAGACTCCTAAAACTGTTTTATATTGAAACTTTTTTGCTCCTTCTTTCAGGAAGGCTTGATAAGTGTGTGCTTTGACTTAAAAAAAATCCCAACAAATATGTCACCAGGCAAACTACTGAGCTGCAGTACTTTTTGTTTTAAAATAAAACCCTCTTGTCTTAAAAATGTATTCACAAGAAAGCACCTTATCCTTATCTTCTCTTTCTGAAAGCGATTCTGTATTTTATTTGCTTGTTTTGTTGTCTTAGAAGCACTCAGTACAGTGATACTCGAGAAGTTCTAAAATCTTTAATACGTTAATAAAAGGCTGATGAATTACATGTGTGGCCTTTTTGGTATGCACATATCATGAATAAAATAGTCTCCGTGTTGAAGCACTATGGTGAAGAACAACAAAGTTCTGGAAGAAGGTGGTAGTGGATAAAAAATGTATCTGCTTTGTAGAGAAACAGCCTTCCTGGTCTCTTAAAGCCTGAATTTTAAGACAGTGCTGATGCCCATTTGCCTTTGACCTAAGTTTGGAGGTTTAAAGTAGGAGCTAGTCCTAATGGCTACAGATGGAGTTGGAAAACAGTCTTAGATCCTGCTGTTGCAGGAGGCTGCCCACTGAACAGTGAGGACAGGCTACTTGCAATGCTGAATTTCTCTAGTTCCCTCTCAACAGCTCTCTTGAAAGGCAGGTATAGCTGATTAAAAAGCCTTGTGACATCTGAAAGTGAGGAACTGTGAACCCTCTAGTGGTGCTCTGCAAAATGCAGGAATCTGGAACTTGTGTTCACACTGTGCCTGGACATATGACTTAAAGAGCAAATCATGAGGAGCAGCTGAGGGAGCTGGGGGTGTTTAGCCTGGGGAAAAGGAGGTTCAGAGGAGACCTCATGACTCTCTACAACTACTTCAAAGGAGGTTGTCGCCAGGTGGAGGTTGACCTCTTCTCCCAGGCATTAGTAACAGGACAAGAGGAAGTGGCCTCAAGCTGCACCAGGAGAGGTTCAGATTGGACATCAGGAAGCATTGGAACAAGCTGCCCAGGGAGGGTGGTGGAGTCACCATCCCTGGAAGTGTTCAAGAAATCACTGGACATGGAAATTAGTGCTATGGTTTATTTGACATAGTGGTGTTCAGTCAATGCTAGACTTGATGATCTGGGAGGTCTTTTCCAAACTTAATAAGTCTGTGATTTGGCCTCTGCAAAACTAATCTTGGGGGGTCTCACCTACGTGCTGAGCTTCTGAGTTAAAAGTACAGCAGAGACTTCATCTACAGTTGGTTTTAGGCTAGATTTTGAAAAGAGACAAAGAGTTTTGAGTAGCAAAATAGATCATGTTTGAAACCATCTAAGGAACCTGAATGTGCACAAATCCAGGAACCTGATGAGATACATCTGTGGGTCCTGAGGTGGAGGTAGTGGCTAACTCACCATCCATCATTCTTGAGAAGTTGTGGCAGTCTGGGGAAGTTCCCACTGACTGGAAAAGAAGAAGTATAACTCTCAATTTAAGAAAGGGAAATAAAGAAGACCAAGGAATTGCAGGCTGGTCACTGTCAACCCTGATGGGGCTAGATCCTGGAGCTTCATTTTTTGCATGCCACAGGATAGAGTAACTGCTGATCTGCACACCAGAGGCTGGCTGACTTGAAACACACCTCTTGCCCTCCTACCACCCAATGCTTTAATATCTGTAAGACAAATTTGGAGAGGAGTGGTTTTTTACATTTCTCTTATTTGGCTTCTTGTATGTTATGAATGGGTTTCCTATAATGTGGGAACAACACTTTAGTTCAAGCTGATTTATTTTTTTTTTATTGTTAAACACTTAGTTGTAACTTTATTGAACTGTAAGGTACTTATACAGAAAATTTCATCTCTAGCTTTTTTATTTTAGTTTTTTTTTTTTCCAGGGGAGGAGTGAGGGGAGCTGTAGAACAAATAATTGTTTCTCCTCAGTCAAGGTCAAGAGGAAAATCTGTTCTTTTTGTTTGTATTTATAAAAAAAAAATCTGCAAGCATTTTGTAGAGTGCCTCTACTTTGCTGGAGAGTTTTGATTCACCAGTTGTCAATCCTCTGTGAAAATACTTGTGAAGGTCTGCTAAAACATTGCCCAAATATAAATTTCTGTAAATCTCATTTCGTACCTGCTGAGCAGTGACTTTTTAGGGATTAGCTGCTTAACTACACAATGGCATTGAACATGCTGATTCTCACCGCAGGTATACAGCAAGAATCCCTTGTAATTGCTCTTTTTGGTTGCTAAGACTGTCATGTGGCTTGTTCTAGCCTGCAGAGAAAGACTTCTGTGCTCCAGAGCCCTGCTGGCCAGGCAGTCAGGAAGTAGAAAAGTCTTAACAGGAATATATTGAAAGTACAAGTACCCACTCATAGTGCAGTCAGAGTAATATTCAAACATACTTGAATTTCTTGCTTTGAACTGTAAACTGCTTGTCTTGTACCTCTAACCTGGTGTTCCAAATCTTGTTGTTATTCTTTGAATTGATTGGATTCTGTGTGAATAAGATGTTCACATATATTAAACCCATCCATCTGATGCGTGAATTTACCTCTTTTCAGTTAAATTTACACAATTGTCCTGTTTAGTATATGTTCATCTATATCTGCATACTTTTTGTGTAATTTACTTTTAAAAATTGCTTTAAGGCCTGAACTACTTATTTAGTTTATACCCAGCTGTTAGCATTCCTGGTTTGTTGCATTTTAGCCCAATTTTTCATGAACCTTCTTGCCCTCTAGCAGAGTTCTAATTATCAACTGTTTATCTTTCACAGTAAAATTAACTGAAGTGTCTTCTTTGTGATGCTTTACTGTTTCCCAGTGGATTCTTTGATTGTTCATTTATTACTCATTGCTTGTTTACCTATTATGAGATTGTGCTGGTTTAAAGGTTAACCAGCAGGGGGAATGAACCCAACTCAAAGGAGAGATTATAAGTCAGAATAACAATTTATTAAAATAATACAGTAAGTACAATAATACAAACAAACAATTGGTCTCAACCCACAAAAACCCAAATGTGTAACCCAGTACCCTGGGGCCTGAACAAAGTGGTGTTCCTTGGGCCCTGTTTGAGTCCAAAGTAAAGGGAGAGGGGAAGAACCTGCTGGTGGGAGAGCTGCTGCAGTCTGGCCAGAACTGGTGATCGCAGTCCAGTGGTGGTCTAAGTCTGGTTGAGAGCGATGAGATGCAGCCGTCCTCTGGATCCCACGAGTGGGTTGAAAAATGTTCCAAAACTCCAAGATTATATATCCTCCAGTTCAGGCAGGAATGCT